ACGACGCGCAGACAACCGGCCAGGGCGAAGGAGAGGCCTCCCCCGCCCCCCCCTCGAATGTCATGCGGCCTCCGCCCCGCACCGCCGGCTCTCGACTCGGGTCCTTTACGTAACACTTTACAGTGACGTGAAACTGTCGTACTGTCAAAAGTTTTCCGCCGACCCGACCGGTCAAAGAGGTGGCAGACGAGCCCTGTCTTTCTCGGCCCCCCCTCGGACGCTCACACCCCTCATCCCGAGGCCGTGGGTCTTCTGTCCCTTCACACGACCATCAATATATTCCATCAACCGTACTGTCTCCTTACTCTTGTACGACAGCACGGTACCACACCACTACGCGCGCGGGGGGTACGCAGATACCTCCGACCCTTTGACCCTAACCTTCGCCTCGTACTCCCCTCGACTGAGCGATTGGGATGTACAGTCTCTCCTCAGAGGCTGAACCGACCATCCACCTAATTACACTAAAGTCAACACAACCTACTGGTGTGACGGACAACCGAGCTGCAGGTTACAGATCTCAAACTTTTTTTCTTTCTTCTCCTTTTCATCTCACCTCCCCCTGCTTCTCTGTAGCTCTGCCTTCACAAACTAAACACTGACCAAACAAGAAATATAAAAAAACTTTTCCTAATGACCTCTAAATGTAATCATACCACTCTTTGAGTTTCTGAGTGAGCCACAGTTTTCCTCACCTTAAAGTCTTCTTTTCACAGAGAAATTTCTATTTTGGCAACCCTATATTGTTCTAATCCCTACTAGCAGGCGTTTCCTTGGTGTTCTTGACTGGTGGATTGGACTGGGGCTGGGTGGTGGGCGGGCGCTTGGCCGCAGTGTGATGGAGTTGGGTTTGGGTTTTAGGGTAGGTGCAATCAACTCTGTGTGAATCAATCTAACCTTTCATATGTGTGTTTGTTTCACAGCATCCCGGCTCACTATATGTACCCTCAGGCCTTCGTACAGCCTAGTATGGTCATCCCTCATGTGCAGCCTACAGCCAATGCACCTTCCAACGCTTCCTCCCCCTACATCGACTACACTGGAGCGGCCTACGCTCAGTATTCTGCCGCCGCAGCCAGTGCTGCTGCAGCCGCTGCATATGAGCAGTATCCCTACGCCGCCTCCCCCGCCGCCGCAGGCTACATGACTACCGCGGGGTACGGCTACGCAGTCCAGCAGCCTCTGGCCACCGCCGCCCCGGGCTCAGCCGCTGCTGTTGCCGCCGCCTTCGGGCAGTACCAGCCTCAGCAGCTGCAAGCCGACCGCATGCAATAGCAGCTACTGCAACCACTGGACATGCAGAGCGAGGAGCCCCGCCCCCGACCACAGCTGATTGGTCAGGAGGAGCGGCGAAGGAAAAGGAAGAGGGATTGGCCTTAAGGGCGGGCGTGTCAGCGACTCGTAGGCAGAGTTGCTTTAAAAAGGTTATGATGGTGGTGGTGGTGGTGATGATGGTGGTGGTAGTGATGATGATGATGGTGAGGTGGGAACCTTTTACAGTAACCTTCCAACTTGCTGTGCTTCAACCAAAAAACGAGAAAATGAAAAAAAAGTTGCAGAACACATAATGGAAAGTGATTTACTATTATTGTTGTTGTTATTACTATTATCATTACTATTATCATTGTAGTAGAGTACTTATTTATAGAAGAGAAGCAGGAACTAATCCCTGTGGTTGGTATAGGTGTTGAACTGCCTTCAAGTCCTATTGCTGTCTTTAATGTTAGTTTAGGTCTATTATTTTTCATTTGTGGTTTTACCACAAGTGTTTTCGGTTATTTTATGCCCTCATAACATATATATTTATTATTGTTATTATTACACATTGGGGGCTCTTCTTGTTCTTTTTGTCATATCAAGTGCATTTTTAGGAGTTAATATTTTCTGATAATCAGGGAAATGGAACAGTTTCCAACATGTTAGCTATTATAATGTGACCTCTGTCAGGAAGTCGAGGAGTCCTAACTTATTGTGTCACACTTATTTGATGAACTACCTTTTTATCTTCCTGATGCTGAATGTCCCTTTTTTTTACTCTGTGTCTCGACCTCTTGACCTATGCTAAGCAAACAAATCACCAGGAGACAAAAAAACAAAGAAAAGCAACAAAAAAACTGAAAATGTCATCAACTCTGACTTGATTCTTGGACTAAAGGGGGACTTGGCAAACAAAGCAAACGCACTGACAACAGGAGGGAGGTTGAAAACGGCTTCAGACAATGAGAAACACTAAACCTGTCGCTTTTCCACATGTTTCACTCACACGTACACAGACACATGCATCCAGAGTTGCACACATAGCAGTCAAAGACAAAGGCAGCACAGTTGTGTTTCTCTCGGGCTCTGGGATGGAGGGAGAGAGAGAGAGAGAGGGAGAGAGACAGAGAGGGAGAGAGAGAGAGCAGCTGGTGGTGGGGGAGGACAGCGCCGCTCCAGCGCCACACAGACGGATCACTCTGGAAAGAACGCATCACTTGTGCTCGTTTGTTGAGCTGTCACATTTTAATCCCCGGCTGGGCCCATTTGGGAACCAACTTCACAAACCTCCACCCAACGCAGTGCCCCACAGCAGAGCCCCCCCACCTCCCCTCAGTCATGCAGCTGTCAGCACTTCCACCTCTGTGCTGCTGTAGTCTGGTGTCAGGTACACACTCACACACACTTTCACCAAAGCTACTCGACAACTGGCCTGCCTCATGTCTGTCAAGATCACCAGGAGGGGTGAAGAGGACTCTTTGACGTTATGTCGGTCTGTGTGCCTTACATTTTTACTGCTATTTAAGAGGAAAAAAACACACAAAAAAAGATAAATCTACTATTTAAGATATTTATTTTTGAGGGTTGACGATGTTGACGCTCTGAGAGTAGAGACTTAGTGGCGGTACTGTATTATTAATATTATGTACTCATCTCAAGGCATATATAAGTTATTGATTAGTTTTAGTAATATTATTATAATTATTATTAACATACTCAACCAAAAATGTCAATGTAGGAGTTATTTAAGATACTGTTATGTGCACTGTACTTTTATTTTTTTAATCTTTTTGATTCTTTAGAACATGACATTAGCTTAATGCCTTTTTGTAGGGAAGGAACTTTATTTAAATGCAGGCCTGTTTGCATGGAGATTGTACTCTTCTGTGTTTAGATGAGAGGAATAAATAATAATAACTTTCACAAAAAACAAGCGAAAATGCTGCTTTCTCCACTAGAATGTATAGTCGTTGTCAAGGGTTCATTAGCTGTGCTTCTTTTGCTTAATATTCATCAGATGAGCTATTTTACACTGTCGGGAATTTTTATACTTGAACTATTTCTTACAAGGGAAATATGAAAAATAAATGACAAAAAAACTTTTTAAGGATGCTTCTCATTGTCACTGGATGAAGGCATGTAAAGTGTATTTAAATGCAAAGGTCATGTTGATATTAATACCTTCACTGCAGAATTTCAACACCATTTACTTAAAATTGGAATAAAATGATCTATATTTAAAAAGCTTGGTGATTTATTTTCATGAAGAGTGCATTTCATCTCGCATGACAGGCTATTTGAATGAATATGATGATCTTTTTGTGCAGGAAGTGTTTGATATTTTACATTTGTGTGATCCTCCTCCAATGTAGCCTTTCAGTCTGCCTTACACACCCTCATGAGCATAATGAATGTATTGCCTTTGTGCCATATGTTCAATATAAAATAATTGAGATTGTCTGTCTTGAGCTGTAAGTCTTTCTCTGAGCAACATCTGTGAGGTGACAAACTGCTCCGCTCCCCGTCACTGGGAAACCATTTTGAGAAGACGTCATTTGAAACACTCTCAGTCACACCCAAAGTGTGGATACCTCTGACACGTAATAAAGTCTAAAGAATATGAATGATTCATCCTCTAGTCAATAAGTCATGTTATTAAGAACATGCTGCTTTGTCTCTGCCACTCGGCTCCAGGGAGTATTTTGGGCCTTGGTGAAACCTAAAACTATAGTGGGGTGATCATGACACAGCATGGTCACAACAAAGCCTTATGGGTAAAAAACAGGTGCTATCATAGCATCTGACACCATGATAACAATTAAAGCTGTTACTTTATTTAACTGATGATGCAGAGCTGTGATGAAGTTTTGATAAGACTTTGACGTGGCACCCAGGATCAGTTTACTAAAGTCAGCCCTACGTTCTAACTATCTTTTATTTATACCTTGTAACTAGAGTATTTGTTAACGAATAGTAAATAGTCAGATTAAAAGCATTACCTGTCTGTTATACACCAATAATAAGAATAATCAGAAGTTGTATCAGTTTTAAAACAAACTTTGGGTTTAATTACAAATGTAATGTTGAGCCTACCAAAAAGCCTCATTGAGAAATTAAGAAGCTCTGAAATATCTTAATTCTTGGTCTCACTGTAGGCTATATCATACCTTTATAAATTATGTATTTCCAGCATTGAACTAACGTTTATCATCCCACATAGTCAACATTTTAGGGTTTAGAGATGGATATGTTAGTCATCTGCTGTTTATGAAAGGATTTCAAACTACTGAATGTCCATTATGCATTTTGGATAGAGAGCGATTTAAAAAAAAAAGTTGCAAGCGGAATAATCTTTGTGTTAGTGGTCCCAGTCAAAATACTGTCTTTATGAAGTGAAGCACTGTTCACACTGTTGCATTCATATATGCGCCCATACAGTAAAAAATAATTGTATTGACATTTTATTGTCTTGTCTTGCTGCAAAAACCAATTGCCTTTCAAGGACCAAAAATGTAAAGTTGAAATGTAAAGTTCTTTACAATATGCTACTTGTTTCTTTGAGTCAAAAAAATATTGGCCTCTGCTGCACCCACGGACCATTTTCTTTACATTGCAATCAATAATCACAGAACTTGCAATCATTAATCAGTTGAGTACTCCTTTGAACCTGGTTGATCTTGGAAATTAAAACTGTGGACATTTTGACATATCATAAAGCACAGGTGAATTTAATAACCGCATGACTTTCCCTAAGTGTCCCAGAGAGCCAACATGCACCAAACCAGGACATGTGGTGCATACTGGCAAGTGGAATGCAGCTATAACTGTTATTACGTTCACCTGTGCTTTTGAAAGAAAATTCAAAATGTCTGCTATAAATCTTTTTTTTAAATGCAGTCCACCTGTTGACTTATTAAAGGCTCTAATTTATCCAGAATATAAAACCGGCTTGGGAACTAATATAATATTGCATTTAAGGGGAGATTTTAAAACCAAATTTAGGTGTCAAACCTTGGCTCGACTTCACTGGATGAAGATGATGAAGACTTCCCTGTAAATTCAGGTCCATTCCCCTCATGCAGACTTCGCCACAGCGTCAATAACTATTTTTAGCGACTCTGTCTGAGGCTGCCATGTTGCCTGCGAGGTAGAAGCTCGTGAGCCGCGGAGAGAGGAGACACTGCGGCACTGAGTCACGGTCCCTCTCTCAGGTTCACCGTGTGGCTTATTTAGGACTTCCCGGAAGAGACAGCTGAGTGACGGGGCTGGGAGGCAGGAGGGGACCGCAGCACACAGACACGAACTCTTCCCGGGATATTGAGAGTCCTAAGAAAACATCTGCAAAAAGCGAACCAGAGAAGGGAGGTAAGTTGTTTTCTTATGACGAGTTTGTTTGTTACTGTGTTTGGTACATTTTCTGGGTGGGGCGGATGGATATTGGGGTGTCGCAGAGTAGCAGACATGTCCAAACAAAGTCATCTTCACCTGCTCCCTCCGCGCACCATGGTTTCTTACAGTAGGCTATAAGAACACTGAGTGATGTCATGTTATTGGTGATTTTGTTTTATTTCAAGTCGTTTCTTCTGGAGAAACGGTGATGTTGAGGTGTGATGCCTCAGATTTGAGGGGCGGTGAAAGTGCTGTCAGCATGCCAGCAGTGTGCCATGTCATGTTTTATTATGACGCGTCATCGTTGACCTGTGAGTGCCGCGTGAACACCACCTGTAATTAGACAATAGAGATTCAAGCTGCTTGTTTATGTTATAGGCTATTATGCATTAGGCTGTACATTTTCCGAATTTCAAAGTATTGTTTTGACAAACAATCTTAGCTCGAAGTTCATCTAGCTTTTGATGATAGTATCACATGTCTATGTTGGCTTAGATGTTGAAATACATTTTGGCTAAACTCACCTTTTGAGAACCAATTTTTGAGTAACCATTGACCGGAAGTACTGTGCTCTGAAAAAAAGGAAATCCCATTTATCCTTTCTGCTGATTACGGTCATATCAAATGATAAAAATGTCCACAACAGCTTTAAATGGTTCTTTAAGTGACATTGACTCTTCACCATTAGGCCCACATTATATTGATATCATAGTTTTTTTTTCTGTCACAATATATTTGGCAGATAATATCGCCTATTTACTAGTTGTGGAATAATTTAAACATCGTTTTTGTCAGTTGAATTAAAGGAAGATGTCCACTTTCAGCTATGTAAAAAAAATATCAACATAAAACAAGAAACCATATAAGTGTTTTTGAAAGTAGATACAAATACGAAGACTTTGACTAACATACCGATGACGTCACAGCTTCCTGTTTAGTAGCTGTATAAACAACTGTAGCACCTGAAACCATTGCCAGTAGTAAAATTGCCACTACATTTTCTGCATAAAACACAATCAAGGGGGCAAGGAAATGTGTGGTCATGTATGTAAAGTCTTCTAAATTTCACACATTGGGGCAAAGAAATCGCCCAAAATGACCCATTGAAAAATATCTTTGACTCTGCCTGTAGCACACACACTACAGATAAACAGTTTTAACAGATATTTCCGTGTTTACTCAAAGGAATTTATACAGTACAGTACTTTCGAGACCTGCATCAGAATAGCCTACAGTCAGAGAGTCCTACTATAGCTGCAGACTGAGGCCCGATATAGCCCCAAAGATCAGATACCAGGCCAGTGGGTTCAGAAGACACGCGGTTCAGGGTAAAGTCATTAATATCTTTCCACTGCAGGAACATTTGTGCTTTCTCAGCTGTCGGTTGGGGACTTTTTGTGACAAACGCTGCTGCCCACCTGTCTGCAGGAACAGAGGGAATAATGTTTTCATTCACTGGGGCTAAAGTCTGCTAAAGTCCACTTAATATAACAGCTGCAAATTACTGATAGATGAACTCCATTGACTGTAACATGTTGAGGTTGTCTTGGGTTTGACAGTCTTTGTCCCATACATTTTCTGAGTGTCTTGCTGTTCCCCTTCAGTTTCCTTGATGGGCTGAATGTATTAAGAGTTTATGAAAGTTAAAAGAGCATTATTGGCCATGGCTTTGCATTGCCATGGAGAATTTGGCTGGCTGACAATGAATGCAATCAGTGCAGACGCCGGCTGTTTTTGTCTCATGGTTCTTAATCTCTTTATTATTATTGAGTGTGACAGTGATTAAGTGGAGTGTTTTGTACTTGAGCAAATAGAGTAGTTGTCCTCTATTAAATGCATTAAATTAAAAGCTGCAATAATATGACTGCAATAGGTCATTATTACCAGCCAGCATTGTGTGTGTATGATTTCTGTCACTGCAATAATGTCACGTCCATGGAGGATGCAGTCACAAAAAACGTTATAGGTGTTTAGTTCAAAATGATGGAAGAATTCAGAGATGTGTGAAGTCTGAGCTGGTAGTACGGGAGTTGGATGGTCTCTAGGTTTCATTTTTGATTATCTATACAACATCAGAACAAGAAAACTGCCTATCCCAATTACTCAGAGTCGGGCGTCTTTAAAAAGAAAACACCGCCTTTTGCTTGAATAATGACAAATTATTAATTGTTATAGCAGATCCCTGTTCTGATGATCAACGGCCATTTGTCCTAAAGAAATAAAGTTTCCAACATTTTAAAGAATACACATTTAACTTTAGTGCCACAGAGTACAACTTTCTAATAAGACACACTTTATTGTATAGGGTTTCAGTCATTGTTGAAGAGTCACAGGTTTCTCACTTTGTCATTGACATTAGTCATTGGATGTAAATATAAACAAATCGTCAGGATAAACGTTCGTATTGTAGCATTTATTTTATTTTTCTGCTATTCAAAACACAGTTTACTTGAAATGTTGCACATAAACACTTGACCTGATCTACAATGTTATAATGGCAGATACATCTTTTGGTTTAGCGTTACCAGAAAACATTGTTCACTACAAGACTAACTATAAAATTGTACAGAAGGCTTAAGAGAAATTGTTTCCAAAAATATATGAACATAATGCATTTAATTAACTTAACCCTCTGGTATCATTCAAATGTACTACCCTAATTAGTAATTCGGGACAATAATGTCCAGAGTGATACTGGAGAGTTAAACCTTTCTAATAAAAAAACAAAAAACAAACTCATGGAGCAGATTGGGACATAGCTCTCCAGGTTTTAGAGCTGTTGTGACCCAGAGAGCAGAAATAGCAGCTGATTCCTGCGACAGGCATCTGACTCTCCAGAGAGACGGCTCGATGACGCCCATCAGGACATTGTAGCCGCTCCTAGCACATAATTACAAGACATAATTCACAAGGATTACAGACAGGGAAAACAATCCAGTCATAGCTGACATATTAATGCAACTCAGAGCCTCCTGGTGTTTTTTTATAGATCATATGTAAAGCAAATAAACAGATTATAACTCTCACAATAGGATTGTGTGTGGGTCCTGGAGGTAGCAGGTGTCAGTTTAGGACGAGCGTGTTAACCAGCAGTTTGTCTAAACATGCTGCGAGATGCCGGGTTGAATTCCAATCTGTTGACTGACCGCTGCATTGCCTCACGATGAGGCATATATAAACATGTGGAAATATTATTTGGGGATTTTACAAGGTCACTGATGCCATCCTGGGACATAGATGTTGCTCAATATTAAATACAAAAATAAGATATCCATTCCAATTCCTCTATTGAGCATTATTATGCTGAAAAAGCGCAAGTTATGTGATTTAGAAGTTTAGTGACAATTTCCCAATTATGTATAAAGTGTATTTTTTGTGCGTATACATTTATGTGATTATTTTGGACCCAAACAGAAAACATAGATTTCTATTGTTTCTATTGTCAGGTGTTGTCACTGATTTCCTTAATTTTCTCCACTGTACTCACTGTCCCTCCTCTCAGTCTGACTCCAGTTGCTTTCTTTCCCTGCTTGATCCAATTTGTGATCAGAGGACCAGGCAGCTCAAACAGAGACAGTGTTCATATTAAGCCCAATGCATCAACTAAGTTACACTCTGTAATGACACAGCTCTTTAAGGAGCAGCAGCATGGGGAAGTTGAATAGTGATTATTCCCTCCATAGTGATGTGGAAGATGGAAAAACACAATTTCATGTATCACAAAATGAAAACATTATACTAGTGAGCTCACAGTACATCTCAAGAAACTGTTCCTTTGTTGCCAGGTTTGTCACCATGGAAGGATTAGTGGAGCGGCTGGAGCGAGCTGTGACTCGCCTGGAGAAAATGTCCATCACCATGCAGGTGTCCAACGGCATGGCTAATGGGGACTGTACCAATGGCATCGATGGAGGCAAGTCTGCTTCAATGATACTCAACTTCTTTTGTATCAACAGGTTAAAGATTGAAGTGAAAGATGGACATGAGAGCTTTAATCTGTCCCTCTTGTGTCTGCAGGTCTGTCTCGGTGTATGGAGGCCTTTGATGTCCTGCTGAGAGGTCCAGTGTCAGAGTACATGAACTACAGCAGAGCCATAGGAAGCGTGGTGGAGAAACATGTAAGTTGTGTTTGATTTATGCACCAAAGTCTCTCTAAATAGCGTCCTTATATTGTTCAGCGATCGAAATCCAGATGAGAGAAGATAGGAGTTGATTGAGCCATGACGAGTGACTTTCAATTATTAACGAAAAACAAACAAGCTGCTACAGCCTGAGATAAAGATGGCAGGCACTACAAATGCAACATTATTTATTCCCTATATTATTAAGTCCCTCTCTACCAACTTTACATACAAAGTTCAGTATTAAAAACTTCTAGAAGCTGTCCCTTCATAGTCCATCAACAATACTTAAAGAGAAATACTAATTCTTGGACTACCAATTTAACTCCAGATGTAATTCCAGATGTGGCCCCCATTTTCTAAAATTCTCAGTTTGAAATGTTTTCTAAGTGGGAGCACAGATGGATAATGTGCAGCCACTAGTGCAGTCTGTCTGTGCCAAACCATCATTTCATCGGATGCACATTTCTAAACAAACATGGATTGTTCTGCTTTTGATCTCACTTAAAGAAGTGCTGCACTGAAGGCTGAAGGACGGTGATGTTTGAGTTTGGGAGGTCCATCGCCCAAGGTTTCATGTCCCCAAAGCCAAGGGTGGGAGTATGATTGAACTACGACCTTACTTTCATTTATCAAACCGCCAGTGGAGCACTGTTTCCTTTTTGGTAATGACCTGTACTCCCATCAGAGGGCTGTGTGTTTTGTGGTCAGCCAGTTGGCAATAATAGCTGAATAAATCCAGAACAACAGGGAGTGAAGACTAAAGGCGGGCAGACAGAAATCCCAGAAGAAAATGTTGGTTTATCTTCCTCTGTTCCTTGAAAGAAAGTCTGTATCTCTGCGTCCCATCACTGGACGGGGTGAGAAAGAGGGCCAGTGTGTGAGCGAGAGCCAGAGGTGGTTTCTCTAAGTTTGCAGAGCTCCTTTTATGGACAAAGCCTCCCCGGTGGTTCCCTTGGCCCGCGACTGCAGGTCTCAGACACACACAGGACCCAGCTGGCTGAGACGAACTGTGTGTGTGTGTGTGTGTGTGTGTGTGTGTGTGTGTGTGTGTGTGTGTGTGTGTGTGTGTGTGTGTGTGTGTGTGTGTGTGTGTGTGTGTG